ACGAAGTAGTGAACTCGCTAGTGAATATTTATTAGGCTCACTACTGCCGTGGCTATGCTTATGCCAAATAGAACCAACCATTCGTTTTGCCGTCTGAGTTCGCACAAGCTGACCAGCTCGTGAAGGCTGCCTGAATATCAGCTCAAACCATACCTTGGTCAGCCAAATCTCTCCCTTTTTCTTCCCTTTTTTTTTTCCCCTTCCTTCTTTATTTTTTATTTTTTATTCAAAATTTTGGACACAGGTATGAGTAGGGAGCCTGTTGTTGGGGTGTCGACCATACATCGACACTCCAACGTTGTATGTTAATATACAAGTCACGTGCTCCTGTATTGTACTCCTATACTGTAGCATTTCATTCAATTCGACAGGGCCTGTGATGCGTGACAGGCCTGTCGAAAATTTGGTTTCGACAACCTCACAAATTCGCCATGACAAGCCGAAAATTTAGGCAAATTTTCGACCATTTAACACCACATGCGACGAAAAAATTCAACATTTATCATATGAGCGCCAGACAATTTCGACACCTTACAAAAATCTGCGTGACCACTGTGACATTTCGGCAATTTGAAGGGCCCCGTGACGCGTGACCGTTGAATTGAACGTAACACCTACGTACTGAGTCACTACATGTCTAATACACTCTTGCTTCCTGCCTCCATCTCTCAACAGGTTATGGGCCCCGGAGACGCTTAAATTTGTATTGGATTTTCCAAACATTTTAAAGTTGAACTAAAACTGTCAACATGTCGATTCACAACGAAAATTCTAGTCGACAACTTACTCCTCAGTCACCAATAATTTGTATCAAATGAAATTAACCATTCGAAAACCTGGTTCTTCTACCAACAAATCTGCGATTGTAACACCTCAAACTTACCTCACCTCTGAGCCTACTCAAAGCTGGGAAACTTGGCACAAAAGATTTGGCCATATCAGCTATTCTTAGGGTTAGGTTAGGGTTAGGGTTAGGGTTAGGGTTAGGGTTAGGGTTAGGGTTAGGTTAGGGTTAGGGTTAGGGTTAGGGTTAGGGTTAGGTTAGGGTTAGGGTTAGGGTTAGG